ATTACTAGAGGACTGAAATGTTCCACTTGAATAATAGACAGAAAAATGAGACAGAAGATCAACAAAGAAACAGAGGACTCAAACGACACTACAGAGCAAGAGTGTAACAGAACACCCTACACGCACGCCAGATGGTGGGGCTACAAACATGCCTTAATGCATTTTAAATAATCCAAAACCATACAAAGCATCTTTTTCCAGTCAGCAGTGGGTGACACCAGAAATCAACAGCAGAAGGAAAACTGATAATTAATTATGTGGAAATTCAACAGAGCAAATAAACCTTAAACAATCAAAGAGTCACACAGTTTGGCACCTAAAATTAGAAAATACCTTGAGATAAGGAAAACAAAACACAACCTTCCAAAACTTACAGGATGCAGGAAAAACAGTGCCAATAGGGAAATGTACAGCTGTAAACACTTGCTTTAGAAGAGAAGAAAGGGCTCAAACAAACAATCTAACTGTACACCTTAAATAACTACTAAAAGAACAAACTAAACATAAAGCTAGAAAAAGGAGGAGGAAAAAGGAGGAGGAAAAAAAGTAAAAATTGAGGAGCAAAATAATAAAGATTAGAGGAGGATAGTAGAGAATATGAAAATAGAGAAAAATAATGAAACTAAAATTTGGTTCTTCAAAAAGTCAAATATAACTGTCAAACTCATTTAGAATTTGACTAGGGAAATAAAGAAAGAAGACTCAAATAGCTGTAATCTGAAATGAAAGGGGGTACATTAATACCTATTTTACGGACAAAAATGATTATAAGAGAGTACTATGAACAACTGTATGCCTACAAACTGGATAACCTAGATGAAATGGACAAATTCTGAACAAAAAATCCACCTGATAAATAATAAAGAATTTGGCACCAGATTTCTTAGATATGACACCAAAAGCACAGGCAATGGAAGCAAAAATAAACCAGTGGAATTACATTAACTAAATGGCTTCTACCCAGCAAAAGAAACAATCAACAAAATGAAAACACAACCTACAGAACAGAGAGGAAAATAGATAAACAGTACGTCTGCTCTGAAAAGGACACAATCAGAATATATAAAGAACTCTTAAAAGTCAACCACAAAAAATCTGATTAAAAATAGCAGATAAAAAAGCATACAAAAGAGGCTCAACATCATGAGTCATTAGCAAATGCAAAACTGCAATGACCTAATCACATCTATATTAGGGATGGGCTACTATCAAACAAACAGAGCCACCACACTAGCATGTAGAGAAACTGGGAACCCTGTGCGCTGCTGGTGGAAAGTCAGATTGTGCAGCCGCCTGGAAAACAGCATGGAGTCTCCCGAAAATCAAAGCCAGAACTATTACAGGTTCGGCAATCCCACTTCCAAAAGAGTTGAAAGCAGGATCTTAAAGAGCTACACACTTACATTCACTGAAGCATTATTCACAACAGACAAGACAGAAATAATCCAAACATCCATTGACAGATGGATACACAAATTCAGTTTAGAACTGAATGGAATGGAATGAAATATTATTCAGTTTTAAAAAGGAAGGAAACTCTGACACATGCTACAACATGGACGAGCCTTAAAGGTACTCTCTACCAAGTGAAATAAGCCAGTCACAAAAAGACAAATAGTGTAGGATTCCCACTTACATGAGTTACCCAGAGCTGTCAAATCACAGACAGAGGTGGCAGAAGGGTGGTGCTGAGGGCAGGGGGTGAGGAGGACTTACTGCAAAGAGTTTCAGTTGGGGAACAAGGAAAAGGTTCTAGAGACGGATGGTGATGGTGGTTGAATGCACTCCTAATGCCACAGAACTTAGTTGTACATTTAGAAAGGGTTATGCTGGTAACTTTGTGTTAAGTGTCTATTTTATTTTAAAATCCTTCAATGGCTAGGCCAGGCAGGTAACAGAAATAAGTTCTGTTGCTATAGGACTTAAGGAACTCTGTGGGGTGAGGGATGGGGATAAAGAGAGCAGGGCCCACCCACTGTGTCAACACAAAACGCTTACAGTTCTGATCACACTCACGCCCTACTCTCTCAACGAAGGAGACAGACTGCGCCTTACTAAGATTCTTCCTGCTGAGAAAAGCAAGGAGCTCCCTCCTCGGGGCCTCCTGGCTGCTCTGCCATTTCCATAGCACATGACATGTGCAAAGCCCTTCTTCCAGGCCCTCTCTCGCCTGGTTAGGATGTTTACTCCAGGAGTAGGGACTGCCTCATCCTGCAAACCTCCAACACCCAACACAAACCTATCTGTTGGTTTCGCCCACTGTTAACCGAAAAATGATCCGCTGATGGCTCAGCAGTGTACTGAGGGGGAGAATGGGCAGTAGGAGGAAGATGGCAGATCATAGATGCTACAGGACTGGGTGATGGCTATGAGCTGAAACAGGTCATCTGGGAACGACTATTTGCAGGAGGCAGCAGTGATCAGGTTTTCAACATGCTGAGTTTGATATGCACAGCGGACATCAGTGGGAAACAGGACAGGCCTATAGAGGTGACAGGTTTGGGGCTGGTCCAGAAATAGGATGGACTCTATGAGAGGTGACAGGCTTGGGGCTGGGAAAGATGGCATTAAGGCAACATTAGCTGAGATTGGGAGAAGAGACATGGCACTAGGAATGTCCATTTCAAGGTAGCGCCTCTCATACCACAACAGTCTCCCTTCCTTAGTGGACTATAACCCAAAGTTTCAGGTTTCTAAGTAATCATCAAATGTTTAATTAAATTACAGCATTTATAGAGAAAGTTCTGAAACAGTCCAGGATGAATAGTGAGGACAAAAGCAATAGTAACACCCTACAATCAGAATATGTTTAATAAAATCCTTTATGTAATCAAGCTTTTTTTTTTTTTTTTTTTTTTGAGACAGAGTCTCACTCTCTCACCTAGGCTGGAGTGAAGTGGCACAATCTTGGCTTACCGCAACCTCCGCCTCCCAGGTTCAAGCAATTCTCCTGCCTCAGCCTCCCAAGTACCTGGGATTACAGGCACACGCCACCACACCTGGCTAATTTTTGTATTTTTAGTACAGACGGTGTTTCACCATGTTGGCCAGGCTGTTCTCAAACTCCTGACTCAAATGATCTGCCCACCTCGCCTCCCAAAGTGCTGGAATTACAGGTGAGACACCGCACCGGTCGCACCGCCTTATCAGCGTCCTGTTAGTTCACAATCAAACGACATGTCTCGTTAGTCTAAGAACCATATTCTACATGATCAGATTCACAGGTATATTAAATTCAGAGGCAAAGTTGCTACTTATTTATTGTCTACTCCATTTAAAATAACCTCTTGCGTGCCATGTCCCGTGTCCAGTGCCCCACAAAGCCCACCCACAGCCCTGGGGTTTCCTAAGACAGCAATTCGCCCTGGGAATGTGTGTGTCAGATCTGTCTGAGATTGCAGTCAGTGTGTGGTGGAGCACACAAGAGTCCCCAGCTTCAGTCCCCAAAATTGAACGTGCTTTATCACTTCACCTTCCCCTGTAAGGGCAAGACTACTTTAGATATCCAAAAACACTCACATACATAGACATACCTTACATACATAATTACTGAAGGCTACACACCAAGTTCAGGAAGACAAAAAAACAAGAGTCCAACTAGAATACAGTACTGAGAGAAGGCAGAACTGCACAGGAACAGCCTTGATCATGCACAGGGGTGGGAAGAAGAGTTCTTACAATCATGTTCACTCATACCTCTCCCCAAGGAACAGGTCACCATATCCTGTGGCCCAGATCTAACACCAATGTCATTCCACTAGATTAAAGTGTTGCTCATGCATGAGATACACTCTGAGGAGGGGCAATGGGGTTTCTGTGGGAACCACTAACACCACAGCGTGAATTTGTTGATCATGTTCTCCCTGACAGACTCACTGAGGAAAACAATGTCATCTCAGTCTGTTCTTTAAAGGAGAGAGAGGGTGGGATGAGGCTGTAAGGAAGGTAGCAGGTGGGGACCAAGGAGGCAAGATAGGGAAGTAGGTACAGGCAAACAGAGAGGGTGTGGCTCCTGCCGCGCCACCCTCCAGGCAGGAGTCAGAGAGGAGAATCTGAGGTGGGAGTGGTGTTGTCGGTGGTGAGCTGCCCTGTCCCCTGGTTGGCTTTCTAGGATGATGGGGATGGCAAGCCACTCTTTTGGAGCTACAGGCGCCATCTGATGTGGATTGATGGCTGCCTAATCTGCTGGGCTGCCTCTTTTCCAGGTTTTCAGTTCCAGTACACGGAAGGCCACGAATGAAATGCTCGCTACACGCTGTATCCAAAAAGAAGCACATTAGAAACTTCACTCATCCTCCAGTTTTAATAGGTTTTTCTCTCCTTGGCAAAAACCGGTGCATGAAAGGCCCGTCAACACCACCCGCTGCTCTCTTTACACAGGAGGCGGAGGGGAGGCCTGAGATCTCCTGACACAAAGGGCTGCCCATCTCCCTGGTCCTTCCCGAAGCTTCAGGAGGCAGACACACACGCTAGCTGGGTCACTCTCTCCAGCTGAAGGAGAGGGAGACAAAAAGAAGTCCTAGATTGGTACCATGCTTGCTAGGTCCTTCAAAAATGACTACCTGTCACTGCATACAAGCTGCACAGCGGGCGGGAGGAATAGTCCTGTAAATCCACCTCTCCCAAGGAAGATTCCCGCCTGCAGGCTATGGCTGAATTCTCGCATCCTGTGTGACGTGGGCGATGGCTTCGTGCAGGTAAGATTAGAATACAGGTGCCTGGAGGACACCCTGAGCTGCCCAGGCACTCCCGGTGGCTGGTTCCTAATTTATAATGAAACACCTCCTTCCACGCTCCCGTGGGCCTCCCATCTCTCCTTCCTCTTCCACGCTCTCCTGGCGTTGAATGTTTTCCACTGAAGGAGTCTAGTCTGGCTCACACTGTGGGCTCTCCTCCTCGGTCCAGGCATCCGCGGCTCCCAGGTCAGCTCGGGCAGAACCGCTCTGACTACCTATGAGCTCTGGGACATCACTCCTAATGCTGGGACTGTCTCACTAGTCTCAGCCTGAGGGTTTGATTCGATTTGCTTCCCAGAAATTGCCAGCGCGCGAGGCTTCGCCGGGCTCATCCAGGAGCGGAGGGGCCTGTTCCTGACGCAGACTGGGGGCGGGTCCGCGTGCTGGCTGAATGAATGAACGCAGCAGGGCTAGCCCTGGGGCTAGAGGCTCGCTATTTGGTCCGCCCTGGTGGCCCAAAAACATTGACTGCCCCCCACCGGTCAAGGAGCCCAGACGTCCAGGAGCCCTGGATGGCTGGACAGGAAGGCAGTAGGAGGTGGAGCCGGGCAGTGAGGACTCCGAGGTCGTCCTCCGGAGCGCAGCGCCTCGCGTTGGGAGGCCCGCCTGCAGTCGGCATCCCCGGCCGCCTCCCCGCCAGTGCCCCGGCCCGCCGCTTACCCTGCACCGCGCGCTCGGTCACACCCACGGAGACGAGTGCCCTTTTCCGGGGAGTAGGCTGCAGCCGATCTTTCGGGCTCCCCAGCCCCGGCCGGCGCCACCCCAACCTCCACCAGTGGGATACGACCCCAAGATTCCCTAGGGCATGGGCTCCGCCCACATGCACGTGGCGTCACAGGCTGGGCGGGGTGGGGGGGGCGCACCCAGCCGCGCAGGCGCAGGCGGGAGAGGAGGCGAGGGTCGTGGGGGCCCTGTTGCGCAGGCGCGGGCTGGGTGGAGGGAGGGGCCAGTTGCGCAGGCGCGGGCCGGGGGAACCCAGTTGCACAGGCGCGGGCCGGGTCGCGGACCCAGCTGCGCAAGCGCGGCGGCCGGATTCTCTTTACGTGGGTGGCGTTGCGGTTTTCTGCGGTCCACATCCGGGCTGGCGTCGGTCCAGAGGCAGGGCTCGGCAGTCTGGTTCCCCCAGCGTTTCAGGGCGGGACCTCGCCAGATTCAAGTGGTTTCCTTGGCCGGTTTCCTCACGGCGCGACAGAGCTGACCGTCGTGCCTGGCAGGGGGCAACCTCACAGCCTGGACCGGCCTGTGCAATTTCCCCCATCCCTCCACGTCTATATTTTATTTTTTTCTTTTTCTTTTTTTAGGACAATGCATGATGGAAACCGCCTGGCAGGGGGCAACCTCTTTGAACAGCCCGACCGGCCTGCAGTAATTTCCCCCATCCTCCACGTCTATTTTATTTTTCTTTTTCTTTTTTAGGACAATGCATGATGGAAATGCAGCCACATCAGAACAGGCAGGTTTTCATGAAATCCACTCCCCCACTCCCATTTCTGACCCCATTGTCTTTTTTTTTTTTTTTTTTTTTCTTTAACAGGGCTCACCCAGGCTGGAGTGCAGTGGCAGGATCTCGGCTTACTGCAACCTCTGCCTCCCGGGTTCAAGCGATTCTGTTGCCTCAGCTTCCTGAGTAGCTGGGATTACAGGCCTGCGTCACCACGCCCAGCTAATTTTTGTATCTTTAGTAGAGACGAGGTTTCACCCTGTTGGCCAGGCTGGTCTCAAACTCCTGACCTAAGGTGATCTGCCTGCCTCTGCCTCCTGAAAGTGCTGGGTCTACAGGCATGAGCCACCGCACCGGCCTTGACCCCATTTTCTAATGTCTTCCTAGAAATCAACAAGGTTGCAACTCCCTGACTGTCCTGGCTCGCAGGTCCCGCTTACTTAGGGGCCCCACGGTGGGGCTGCCCACGTGCACACCTGGCGTTAGGCGCCCTCATTCCCGCAAGGGCCAGAGTTCTCCTGCCCATGCGTTCGGCAAAGGAGGTGGGTGCGCCCAGCCAGGCCTGGCCCTGAGGATCGGCCCCACCTGGCGCACTGGGGCATCTGGGAGAGCTGGTTGGTGGAAGAAGCCCAGGTTCCTGAAGGCCCAAGTGGGCAAGCGTTTATTTTCAAGATGGGACGCTTTTGAGGGTGAATGAGTGCTAACTGTATGGGATGCCCGGACAGTACATAGACTAGGCCTTGCCACCGGCAGTGCGGTCCCTGTTGGAAGGTCACCCACAAGCACCTGGTTGGACACTGCCACTGAGATTTGGTTATTACAGAGGTTAGCCTATGCGGGCCCTCACTGATGGACCTTGAAGTTTTTCCCAGTTGCTTGCAGTTAGGAATAATGCGACTGGATCCCATGGACTGTCTTTGTGCATGCATGTGGGTATATCTGTCAGAAATATTCTTAGAGTTGGAATTGGCTGTACTGGGATATGTCCTTTAAAATAATATATTGGCTAAACATGGTTAATCTGCCCCCTCAGACACTGTACTAATTTACACTCTGGCAAATAATGTAAGACCTTGGGTTTCGAAGTACATCTTCACCAGTGGGGTCTTTCCAAACTTCTGATCTTTCCTCATCCAATAATGACCAAACTGTGTCTCACGGTTTTAATTTGCACTTTCCTAGTATTTTCAGATCCCGTCGTGAACGGTGATGGCGCTGTTTCTGCCTGCTGCACTCCAGAATATGTGTTATCACTTCATTTCTTTCACCATTTTTTACCTCAGAGTTTCTAGAATTTGTGAAAGTAAAATCTTTTTGCTGGCATGGGCTTTTGTGTGTGTTATATCTGTTTGAAAGGTCTTTGCACCAGATCTCCTTGTAGATTCTTTCTCAATGTTTAGTACTCAGCTCAAATGTCACCTCCTCAGACCATTTTATCTAGAATGCCTCCTCTAGTTATTCTCTGTCACCCTTTATGTTATTTCCTTCATAGCACCATGACACTGTAATTCACCCAATGGCTTCTTCTTGCCTATCGCCCAGATAGAGCCCCAATTTTCAAGACGGAATCATGTATAAAGAGTTCAGTACACATAGAGCTGGCTAAATAGGAGATCAGAGGCTTATTATTCCTCAAATCAGGCTCTCCTCAGATTCGGAGTTTACAATTTTGGGGGTTTGTTTTTTGAGACAGTGGCTTGCTTCATTGCCCTGGCTGGAGTGCAGTGGTGCAGTCTAGGCTCACTGCAACCTCCACCTTCTGTTCAAGTGATTCTCGTGCCTCAGCCTCACAAGTAGCTGGGATTACAAGTGCACGCCACAATGCCCAGCTAATTATTTGTATTTTTAGTCGAGACAGGGTTTCACTGTGTTGGTCAGGCTGGTCTTGAACTCCTGCTCTCAAGTGATTGCCTCCCCAGCCTCCCAAAGTGCTGGGATTGTGCCAGTCTGGAGACTAGGTTTTTAAAAGATAGTTGAGCAGTCAGGGGGTTAGGAATGGTGAGGCTGATTGGTTGGGTTAGGGATGAAATCACGAGAGATGTGAGCTTTGTCTTGCTCTTGGGTCAGTTCCTGGGTTGGGATCACAAGACCAGATGAGCCAGTTTACCAGTCTGGGCGGCGTCTATCAAGCAATGTAGGGTCTGAAAAATACCTTGAACACCAATCTTATGTTTTATAATAGTAATATTAGCTTATTAGAGCAATTGGAGGGTTAGGAATCTTGTGGCTTGGCCGCAGCGACTTAAGCCATAATTTTTTTTTTTTTAAGATGAAGTTTGCTCTTGTCCCCCAGGACCGGAATGCAATGGTGCGATCTTAGCTCACTGCAACCTCCCCCTCCTGGGTTCAAGCAATTATCCTGCCTCAGCCTCCTGAGTAGCTGGGATTACAGGCACCTGCCACCATGCGCAGCTAGTTTTTATATTTTTTAGTAGAGGCAGGGTTTCACCATGTTGGCCAGGCTGGTCTCGAAATCCTGACCTCAGATGATCCGCCCAACTTGGCCTTCAAAGTGCTGGGCTTACAGGTGTGAGCCAATATGCCTGGCCCATACCTTTTAATCTTGTAGCTAATTTGTTAGTCTCACAAAGGTGGTCTGGTCTCAAGCAAGAAGGAGGTTTGTTTCAGGACGGCTGTTATATTTGGTTTAAAGTGAAATTATAAATTAAATTTCTCCACAAATTTGTTTGGCCTATGCCTGGAATGAACAAGGGCAGATTGAGGCTAGGAAGGATGGAGTTGGATTAGGTCAGGTGTTTTTTCACTGTCGTAATTTTCCTTTGTCATATTTTTCTTTTATTGTCATAATTCTTGCAAAAGACAACACCCATCATTACTTATTTGCTGACTTGTTTATTGGCGAATTCTTTGTTCCACTACTGAAATGAAGTTCCAAGGAGAACAAATAAGTTGGTCTGTCCTTGCTCACTGCTGCATGCGTGCCCGGCACTCTGTCTGGAACATGGTAGTGCCTGTAGCATATACTGGCAGTGCTAATGTCCCTGCCTGCCTCTGCCGCCAGCTCTCTGGTTGTTGTGGAAAGTTCCCCAAATGCCGCCACCTCAAGCATCTGTTGCTGTCCTCTTAAGGCTTATCTTACGACTTTCTCCGAAGCCTTGGGATAGCACAGCCTGGAATTCAGGGAAATTTAACATCTCGGGGTAACTGCAGGGCAGTTTGGCTGGCCTTGGACAGACCCAGTCCCCCTTTTTCCATGTAGTTCTCAGGAATAACTGCAGAATGTGCTGGGATTGCAACATCGTGAGATAAGGGAGAGCTGGCCAAACAGCCCAAGGTCAGTTCCAGTCTCCTGCTGAAAATAGGATGTCCTTCAACACAGCCCAGCAAATCACATTACCCTGGGATGTTAAACCCAGGGCAGGGGCTGCTCTCTGGCATCCCTCATCTGTGGTGAAAGGGCTTGCCCAGTTGAGACTCCATTTGCCCTGAGTGATTTCCTGAGCCTTGGGAGACCAGTATTTGCAATGAATGCTCGTCTTCTCCCTTGCTGCCTGTCTGTAAGTAATAAATTTGCTTCATATAACTTATTGAGTATGAATGTGTTCTCTCTCACTGGACACAGACATGTTGGTAACCAGTGCACAGTGAACCTGCTTCATAGCAACCCTTAACTAACTTGGGGATATATCATCCCCAGAGGACCACCCTGAGTCCTCAGCAGAAGTGAGCCTCAGTGACCCCCAGTGGTGATCAGCTCAATAATGCCCCTGTCCTCTGATCTTCCTCGGGTAGCGCTCGCGGCGCGCTCTCTTGCTCTCTCTCTCTTACTCTCTCTGCTGCTTCTGGGAATCACCTCCCCAGGTCAATCACCTGCATCTAAGCTCTTGACTCAAATTGCCTTTGGGTAAACTCAAATTAAGTCAGTATTCAAAATATTTGTGGAAGAAATGGATCGATTGATGAGGGTGCTTCTGATGTTTTCACTTGTCAGCCAGAAGCAGCTCAGCCCTGCAGGCAGAAGGTGAAGGAAGCCAATTGGCACCCGCCTAGAATGCAGGAGCAGATAACTGAAACATGGGCTTCAGCAGAACATGTATGCAGATTCTGACAGCAGGGAGGAGTGCCTGGCCCTGCTTTCTTTTTTGGGGGTGAGAATGTTTTAGGAAGAGGTTGATGAGTTATCATTGCCTCAATTTACTTAATCTTGAGTAATAGTGGGAGGAAGCTCACTATTGTGTATGACTTGCTCACATGTGCCCACCTACTCACAAAAGTCCAGGAGGACAGCTGCAAAGCTGTCTGCTCAGTGAAGGAACAGAACGCGGATCATGCAGTGCCCTGTAGCAGAGGCTGCCAGGCCTTTGCCCATGTCTATCCCACTGTAATTCCCACGACTCTCCACAGCAGGGCCTTCTTTGGCAGAGGAAGTGCCAGGAGGTAACGCTTCTGGAGAGCGGCCTCAGCCCATGTCAGGTGCAAAGACCCTGGCCTTCTGCTCAGACAACTCTGGCATGTCTACGTGGAATTGAGCACAGTGGTCCCGAGTGGTAACCCATACTGGCTTTCCTCCTTTCCCTGTCTCACTGCCCCACTCTACTGGCTTTTCCTGGTGTCACCTCCTAAATAGACTACTTGCACTCAAATCGTTCTTTAGAATTTGTTTTGGAAGAATTCAACTCAAGATACCATCACTCATAGGTCATTTAGTTAATAATATCAAACAAAACATCTTAGCCACTGCTCTGATTTCTTCCTCTGAAATCTATAACCACAAATCACTGCTTTCTCTACCAAATATTTTTCCTATAAGGCAACAAAAAAGTAAGATCTTCCCTGCTCATGGCTAGCCTTCCATTTTCCAAAATCTACTACAAACAGGAAAAATGTGAGGGAAACTCCTACTTTTCCCCTGCAAGAGAACTTGGCATTTATGATTCCTGCCTGCCACGTGGGCCATTGTGTGGTCTCTTAGCTTCCCAATGGATGATCCAACAGACGTCACCTTGCACTGTAGTGACAGTCTTGTTGGGACCACATGAAGTGCAGCTGTAACACAGGTAATAATGTTCTGGGCAATTAATGACTGTCTGGTAGGGGAGACTGTGTGAACAGATTGTCCCATTTAGAGTAGCTGTTAATGGACTGTCTTCTCTCCACGAAGGCTCTAGCATTTTACATTGTATAGGTTGTCATCCACCAGATTAAGAAAATTTCCTTCTATTTCTAGTTTAAGAGTTTTGAAAAATCATTAATGAACGCTCAATTTTATTTTGTGCATTTCTTCATCTATACATGATATTATTATTTTTTCCACTAATTTTCTTTTCGGGAGGAGACGGAGTTTTGCTCTGTCACCCAGGCTGGAGTGCAGTGGCATGATCTCGACTCACTGCAACCTCCACCTTCCTGGTTCAAGCAATTCCCTGCCTCAGTCTCCCAAGTAGCTGGGATTACAGGCACACACCAGCACGCCCAGCTAATTTTTGTATTTTTAGTAGAGATGGGGTTTCGCCATGTTGGCCAGACTGGTCTCGAACTCCTGACCTCAGGCAATCCACCTGCCTCAGCCTCCCAAAGTGCTGGGTTACAGGCGTGAGCCACCACACCTGGCCCACTAACTGTTGATATGATAAATTCTAACATTGAATCATTCCTGCGTTCACAATATAAAGTATACTTTTAAAATATGTTGCTGGATTTGACTTACAACATTGTGTTTAGGTTCTTTGCTCCTACATTCACAAAAAGATTGGTTTCTAATGTTCTTTCTAATATAGTACTTGTTTAGAAACTATCAAGATTAAATTAGCTCTTACAGAATGAGTTGAGATTTTCTGGGTTTTTAAATCTTCTAAATGTGTTTAAGTTTTGAAGTTTCTATTTCTTGAATATTTGATGGAATATTTCTGTTTTCTGTGTGGAAATATTTTAAACATTGATTCCATTTCTAATCAAGCTTTCTCCTTTTCCAGGCAGTTTTGGCATTTTTCTAAAGGGAACTGTCCCATTTCACTCGTTTTCAGGCATAGTATAACATTATTCACATCTTCTTAGTATTTGCAGTGATAGCCTTCCATTTCACTCATAATAATTAATTTGTAAATTTTCTTCTTTTTTCTCCTTGGTCAGCATCCCCAGAAATGCCTAAGTTTTATTACTTCTATTCCCCAAGAGCTAACTTTTGGCTTTGTGGAACTCCTCTGTATCTTTGTTTAATATTTTAAAATTTATTTCATTGTTAGTATTTCTTTCTTTGTACTTAGAGTGTATTGTTTTTTAAAATTTTCTAGTTTAAGCTAAACACATTAATTTTAGCCTATCTTTCTTTTTAAAATTAAAGATCAAAACTTTATTATTCTTACTTAAAATAAATGAAGCAAAATAAGTTACAAGAGAACTTATGTCTAACCAAGAGGCAGGTGGGTGAGTGGGAAGGGAGAGCTCTTCTGCTTTGCTCACTGCAGTGCTGCACATCACTGGTGGAGAGGAGGTCATGCTGTGAGAAAAACCCATCCAAACCCAAAGTTTGGGCTTAGGGAGACCCGGAGAACAGTGATGAGACTTTAATGACAGTCTTGCAAGATCAGGTGTCTAATGGGCAGGCACACTCTAGCAGTTTCAAAAGCAATTTACTCTAGTGCAGGTCCCTCCCCTTGGTTCCCTCAAGTAGACTGAGTACGATGGGGTCACAGTCTTCCTGGACATTGGCTGTTGGTTGTTGTAGGGGTTTTAGGCATTTCTAGGATTGTTCTGCTGTGATTTGTTGTAGCCACAATACATTGCAATCCTTGTTAGCTCAGGGCCTCTTCACACTTGATTTATGACCTAAGTATCTGGGCAGGCTGTTAAGAACAGACAAAGTAAGCTATTTTGGTGTTTAGGAAACTTTCATCTTAGACTAACTTCTTTGGTTTGGTTGAGGGCAACTAAGGCAATGGGGTAGGGGAGAGGGTGGGAGGCGGCAAGCAGACATTGAAGATCCAAGCAGGGGCCTAGTGTATCCTGTTTCTTCTGTAGTTTGCTGACTCAAACCAATTCAAGGCACCTTTGTCTTGGAAATGGACTAATTGCATGTATTATTTCCTTCATGCCTACCCTAAGATAGCTCTCTCGGGGTTATTTTAACATTCATGGGTGAAAAACAAACCCTGCCTGCAGCCAATTCCATTATCTAAGGAATTCAAGTAAAATGGTGTTTTGTTTTGTTGAGAAAGGGCATTGCTAAGTGTTCAAAAAAATAAAGTCCAAATAGCACGGTGTCATCAAGCATTTGCCTTTTTAAAAATGTATGTGATATTTTACAGCCCAGTGCCTCACCATCAGGAAGGGTGTTTGACGCCTGATAAAGCCCCCTTTGGTGAAGGGCACTAGGCACAGCTGTCCATGACAAAGTGAGGGTTAGTAACTGCAGCGAGGGAGCCAGATCAGAGGCTTTCTGTCTTCAGCACAGGATAGACAGGATTGCAGAGAAGGGAGGAGTTCAGGTGAAGTTTAAAATGAAGCCTTTTCTGACAGGCTGAAAGCAGGGCTGTGGGTCACATGGCAACACATCACACTGGGCTGAAATGCTGACCGGGGGGCAATAAACTCAAGATGAACATGCCATGTTACATCTTGAAGCTCCCCATCTGAGGCTGTGAGCCAAGGTGAGAGCTCCAGGCTGCTTCTCTCTGTGGAGTGACCTGCATGGCTGAGCATCTGCAGGTGACAGGATTCCAGACAGCAAGGTTTCTCAGGGTGGAGAAGTAGAGAACGAGATTTCTCAGCACAGAGGCTGAGGGAGCTACCTCAGGCTGGCTACTCGTGTTCCTTAGCCCTGCTCCCCTATTACCTGGGACCTTTCTGTCCTCCCACCCATCTCCTGCCTCCCAGTCTCCCAGCCCCAGAATGCTTGGGCCAAGGTAGCTAGGTCACTGTAGACAGTCACCCTTGGTGCACTGGAAACAGTAACACCAGAGGTTCCACATGACCCCAGAACTATGATAAGGTCCCTCAAAACCATCCCTACTAGGGAGCCCTGCCAGGCTGCCCAGTGGGAGCGATGTGCTGCTGTCTTACTCGAGGTCAACTTTCAGCCTATCTTATCAGAAATGCAGTTAGAGCTTTGCATTTCTATAAGCACTTTGTAGCTCTGTCCCACACATTTACAGTGTTGTATTTTTGTAATTGTCAGTTTGGAACATTTTCTAAAGTCTGCTACTACAATGTTTCTCTGTCCATGTGTTATTTAGAAATATTTTTGCTCTCTTGTTCCAAGATGGCCAGATAGGAACAGCTCCAGTCTTGTGAGCTCCCATCATGATCGATGCAGAAGATGGGTGATTTCTGCATTTCCAACTGAGGTACCTGGTTCATCTCAGTGGGACTGGTTGGACAGTGGATGCAGCCCACGGAGGGCAAGCCAAAGCAGGGTGGCGCATTGCCTCACTCTGAAAAGCAAGGGGTCGGGGGATCTCCCTTTCTCAGCCAAGGGAAGTCAGTGATACAGACTATACCTGGAAAATGGGACACTTTGCCCAAATACTGTGCTTTTCCAAGGGTCTTAGCAAATGGCACA